ATATCAAATAGAAAAACTCAATTTGCATCAAGATTTTAAGAAATATTTTTTAAAATTCTAAAAATAAATATAAAACTATCTTTGACTTTCTATTCTCAAATTTATAGATAAAAAAAGTATGTAAATCAAGTTTTAGAATATTATTTGAGGTGTACGATCAACTACTAACAAGATGATTGCACAACGCTTTTGCCATTGGCAAAGTTTGCTTATAATAATATGATATATTCTTCTCTGTAATAAACACCTTTTTTTTATTAATTATGGTTATCATCCATAATTCGATGCTTTTGACTTTTCAAAAATTAATAATCCTATAGCAGAAGATTTGGCAAATCATTTATTTGAGTTATACACAACAATGAAGGTGCAACTAAAAGAGGCTCAAGAACAATAAAAAAAATAATACAAATACTTATTATAACGAACAACCTCATTTTTACATTGGTAATAAAGTATGGTTACTTTGTCATAATATTAAAACTATTTAACTTTATGACAAGTTGGACTATTGTAGACTTAGACCATTTCTTATTCGTGAATAAGTCAATCTAGTCACTTATTGATTATAGCTACTAAGGTCTATGAAAATCCATCCCATATTTCATGTATGTCTTTTAGAGCCATATAAGACAATGAATATCTTGGAAAGACAAATACCACCGTCTCCTATAGAAGTAGATAATAATCAAGAATTCGAGGTAGAAAAATTCTTAGACTCAAGGCAACCCTAACATATGTTAAATTATCTTATTCATTAATATGGTGTCATGATATAACACGACTAATAGGTGAAAGAATGTGAAAATTATTATAATACATGAGATCTTATTTCAAAGTATTAGAAAAAACTATCTTAGAAAAATAGTTAATAGACAAAAGGATAGTAAAACTAAAAAGTACTAATATTGTTTTTTATAAAATGGCCTTCTACTTACTTTTTTGGACCATAAATAAGGCAAAATAAAGTAGATTGAAAAAACAAAGAATATGAGTACTTATAAAAAGAAGTTTGAAGTTTCTTTTTAAAAAAATTAACTCAAAAAGACAAAAAATTGATTCTCGAGGAGTGCTAGTTATCAACCTAGGTCGAAATTAGACCTTGAGGCACAAGACTAAGCACCTACGGCAACTTAGGGATTTTTTTATAAATCAAAGAATAGAATTTGATAGCAAACTAGATAAGATTTCTATAAGAATTTTTTGTGTGTGATTTGGATTTGTAATGACTGTGTAAGAGCTTTACAAAGTCAAGTTTGTTTTAAATGACTTGGGTTTTTGTGAAATAAAATAGGGTTGACATTTTGGATGATTTTGAGAGATTTGTAATGGATCTACAAATAAAATTTTGTAAGTTAATTTTTATAGTTGTGCTTAATATGTTTTATAAATTTTAGATTGATCTAATAGTTGAATTGAGGATTATTGAGGTTTAAGTGGGTCAAGGTCTCAAAAAGTAGAATTTCAGATCCAGTGAGGGTTTTTAAGATTTCTTGCAATCTATTAGTTGGATTGGAGTAAACTTTGTGTGTGAAAATAGTAGACTTGTTTTACTACATATATTAGAATTTTAAAATCAATTGAATGGTGAAAAGAAGAGATGTTGGCTTTGGAAGATTGGCATCAAGATTAGAAAAAGAAGCCAACCAATATCCGAGCTCGTTTTTGAGGTAATCATCTATTTGGTAATTTTGATTCTTTTCAATTTTTTTTATACTTGTTGTCAACTTAATTTTTAAGAAGTTTGCAAGTTTTGAATTAAAATTGATAATTCATTCATTAGTTATTGAGGTTTAAATCTATTATAGGAATTACTTGGAATTGGTTAGGATTTGGTTAGGGTTTGATTTAGGATTTAGGATTTGATTAGGATTTGATTTAGGCTTAGAATTTGACTAGAGTTTGATTTAGGATTTAGGATTTGGTTAGGATTTGGTTTAGGATTTAGGATTTAGTTAGGATTTGATTTAGAGTTTAAAATTTGGTTAGGATTTGATCTAAGATTAGGATTTGATTTAGAGTTAGGATTTTATTAGGATTTAATTTAGGATTTAGGATTTGATTAGGTTTTGGTTTAGGATTTAGGATTTGATTAGATTTTGATTTAGGATTTAGGATTTGATTAGGATTTAATTTAGGATTTAAGATTTGGTTAGGATTTGATTTAAAATTAGGATTTGATTAGAAATTGATTTAAGTATTAGGATTTATTTAGGATTTAAGATTTAGTTAGTTTTTGGCCTAAAGTTTGATTGAAGTCCAATAGGATTTTAACTAGGATTAAATTAAGATTGGATTGAGATTTATTTGAGATATATTTGTGATCATTCTAATATTTCTTTAAGATTTTTTATTATTTCTTTGTAATTCCTTTAAGGTTTCTTTGAATTGATTAAAGCTTGCTTAGCATTGTTATGGTCTAATTAGAGTTTAGTTAGTGTTCTATTAGAATTAAGATTTTATTGTTGCAATTTCCATTCTATCTTTCACAGCCAAGTGTCCAAAACATTCTCAAGTAAGACTTCATATATTACGACAATGGATACAATGTTAGCAAATGCACATGGAAGCTAGTAAAAAATCTTAAAAATATACTAAAGAAAGTCAAAGCTTTTCATCAACAACATCCATCAAAACCAAAATAAAGGATAGCAATTCTTTGCTATAAAAAAAACACAATTTATGAAAGTTTGCATTCTACTTTCTATCATTGTTTGTAATTTCTGTATAATTGTAGAGTTAAAGAGACAAAGAATCAAGAGCCAATAGATACAACTCAAGAACCATCATTTGCTGACTTATTAGACAAGACATTACAATTATTATAATCTTCAAGTTGATGTAATAGAGATGAAGACCTTTGAGAATGACATGTTCTTTCTCAAATAGATGGTGAAATATAATATATTTGATATCATGACATGATAACAGACTCTTGGTATTTGGTGATTTTATTGGAAGTAGGAACGATTCTTGATGGTATTACAAATATTTTATTTGAAGGAAGTTATAAAGGTTTCAACAACGATCAAATAACAAGGTGGTCTTCCTATATTCGAATAGGAAATTATCAAGAATTGAGAGGACCTATCAATTACTTTCAAAGGGAACAAAGATTAGAGTATATAGTAAATATAATTTGCTGTAACTTATACTTTTTCAGCATGTGATCACTACTCCCCATAGAACTTGTCTCTAGAAGGAGAAGATAATGTCATAGATATATATGTACTATAATTGTTAACTAGATAATATGAATAGGTAGAAGTAGGTAAAAGTAGATTAATTTCATAATACCTTCTAGAAAAGCTTCTTAAAAGCTTCTTAGATACTATTTTGTTTTTATATGTGTTTATAGTTGATTAGTAGGTTAGAAACTTGGTCAACAAACTAATCACATTCCACATGTATTGAGAGCTTGTAGAACAAGCTAACTATGTAGCAATCATATAGAAATCTTATCTTGCAAGTTAAGATATATATCATACAAAGTCAATATGTTTTTGGAGGTCCTATAGAACATTGCTATATAGATCCTAAGTAGATAGTATATATAGAGGCAAGAGTAAAGCCTTCTTTACTCTTATCAACTTTCTTCTTATTTCTAGTCTAGTTTCAAGAGTCTCTAATTTCCTTGTCTTTTTGCAATAGCCATTCGAGTTTCTTTTTGAATATACATGCTTCTATATTTCTATTTTGTCATATTTTTTTGAAAAAGTCTCACTTGTTTATTTGCTTTCATTGAGCCTTATCCTTAACAATTTGTCACCATAGTTGAACTTCAACTAAACTCGAGCATTATCAATTGATTGTTTTTTTAAAATTACATAGCTTTAAAATAAAATAAAAAAGGCAAAAGTTTAAATACTTTGAAAAAGATCATTCAATATAAGATATTTATGATTGAATAGAAGAAGCATTTAAAATGAAGATCTTTGATGCTTCTTATATCAAAATTTATAAAAAAGTGATGGTATATATTAAAAGAGTATTGACCAAAGCAAAGCAGACCAAATTCTTAGGTTAGAATTCTACAATTTAGGTGAATCTTGTTTGTGGTAATTTTTATGGTTCTATAATAAGTGTTAAGGTAGCAAAGATAAAAAATGGTAGAAACTAGGTAACAAAAGAAAACATCATGTGGAACAATTATAGATGGAATTTTGTATATTGGCTCTGTCCATCCTAGTATCTACTTTTGAAAAGATGATATAAAAGTCTTGGCCCAGCTTGTCCCTCATCCATTGATGAATAAGAAAATAGTTCTTTTCTTAGCTTTACTCTTATCTGAACCTTTTCTACCACTTCTACTTGAACAACATCACTTGCTTGGGATTATTGGATGTTAATACTATATTTAATACCAAAGAAACTACACTTAATACTCACAATTCAATCCTAATAAATCTAAGCTACAAAGCTTTTACATTAGATGACAAACTTGGCAATGGTCCATACTTATCTCTCTTGCACTTCTTCAAGAGAGTTTCAAACATAATGAACAAATACATTTCAAGACATGATGATTCAAACTTAATGAACAAGGATATCCTTCACACAAAAGAAGTGGGTCTTAGGCAAAAGAAATGAACAAATACATTTCAAGACATGATGATTCAACTCATCTGCATCAAGCCATAGTCATGAGTATACTACAGGGGATATAATGATATGGGGTGGAATGATATTTGACTAAATTAATTGTCACATGACCATGGGAGTATGGGTTTAACAAAATTAGAATGTGGTTTCAACAAAATTGAACTCCCAATATATATTCTTTTAAAACATGATGTACCTTGAATTGAAAGGACCCTACACTATTGGATCGTAGCTGAATTAGATCTAAGTGGTCTAAAATTGTTCCTAAGGCGTTGGCAATTCAAATTCCTATTGTAAAAACCTGACCACCTTAAACAAAAAAGCACATTGGATATTCGTTGTCTTTGAGTCAGAAAAAAGAAAAAAGATTTACACCAGTACAAGTTATCATCCACATAAACGAAGAAGAATAAGGAAACGTGTAATACATCATGAAAGGCAAAGTACAGAACCGCCATTCCCTGAATGCGATTGCTAATTTGTGAGCATGGTACAATAAGCTAAAGGTCATCCCTGTTAAGACGAAGGGAGAGCTCCTAAGATTCACTTTCACCTACGGATCTAGCAAAGAAGACTCCAGGTTACAAAGCAGCAGAAGCATCGTGAGACTCCTCTTTTTCACTCTCTGAGGAAGAAGACGAGGACGAAGAGGACGAAGACGACGAGGAAGAAGATGAAGACGAGGATCTCTTGACTTTATCGGTTTTCGTAGCCTTCTTGTTCTTCTTTTTCCTCCTCGTCGTCGATGAGTCCTGTGTTCCAAGCTCAAGAGCATGAGATGGCTGCTCAGGGGCTTCGTTCTGCACCAGGCTGTCGAGAGTGTTGGAGTTCTCCGGTGTCCTGGTTCCAGTATCGGCTTCTCCTACGTCACTGGTTGGGTTTGGCATGGTAGATGGATCAGCCCTTGACGATCTCCGTGAGGATGATGGACTGACAGTTGTGTCCTGCGGTTCCTTCAACAGTGTTGACAACGTTCGGTCACGTTTGTGATTTGGTTTGGCGAAGCCGGAAGAGTCCAGGTGGCTCACTTCTCTGAGTGCCCTCAATGACTTAGCTCGTGAGTATGCCGGTTGATTGGCCTCTGCAGCTGGTGTCAGAGCCGACTCTGCCTCCTGAGAGGAACTTTCTCCTTTGGACAGCGGTGAGTCAGGTGATGCACCAGGTCTAGCCAGGCCTGAAGTCCTGGTTTGCGGCAAGTACACTTGCTGGGAGTCGGTGAGCATCTTGGAATTCTCTTTGATTGTGCTCATCGTCTGCGCTTTGGGAAACCTGGATCCCCTCAAAGGTGATGTCCGCATATTTCCTAACTCTTCGTCATCTGTATTTTGAATGAACCTACCTGTCTTGAAAGTCAGGGGTGAACCTGGAGAGCCTGTGAAGGAGGGTGAATCCGCTCCTTTCTCTTCATCACCTTCATTTCCATAAAACGCTCCGCGCCGGAAGGTAAGAGGAGAGCCAGATTCCGAGCTTGAGTTCTCTCGTGACAGCTGCCCTTTCACATATCTTATAATTTCATCGCGGTCATCGACATCACTCTGACAGGGCACTTCCTTCCTGGATGTCAAAGATGAGTCAGCAAGAGTGGCATCCTTGACGGGCTCCCCAGCCATCGAATTCTCCCTGGATATTTGCGCTCTCAAATACCGCTGCAAGTCTCGCACGAGTGCCTTTTCAACATCAGCATCCAAAGATAATTCCGAATTCGGTGCTTCATTGGTTTCGGGAATAGATCGGTCTGCAACAAATGAAGGTTCTCGTGAGAGTTGACCTCTCACAAAGCTCTGTAAAGCCTTCAATCTTGCGGTCTCATCAGTCACTCGCAAGGACTCGACAAATGAGCTCTCACGAGATAACTGCCCTTGCAGGTAACGCTGAAGCGAACGCACTCTGGCAAGTTCCTTGCTGCTAACTTCCCTTTGTATTGCTGGCTTTTCTGCTGCCGATGAACTTGGAATAGCTGTATCTGATGGTGCAGCACCCTCACCGTCGAAGCTACTGCGAGACGATGCTGAATCGAAGAAACTGCGTGCTGAGTGATATCTTCCCAAAGAATCCATTCGAAGTCCGTCAGAATTATTTGCACCTAACCGTCCTCTCAACGAAACTAAGCCTTCTTCGCCAAAGCAGCCTTGTTGGAACATTAACGGAGATCCTAAATCTGAGGTTTCTCTCGAGAGGTTCGGTAACGAAGGATTTGCATCAGCAGCATCCTGATGGAAAGCCCCCCATTTAAAAGCCAATGGAGATGAGTCTTGCTCTTCTACTTGCTGCTCTTCTTCACCACCATCCAGTTCTGCAGACTCAGCTTGTTCCCTCGCCGGTAAAGAGTCCTGTGAAGGAGTCTTGTCTTGTTCTTCAATGGTAACAATCTCTTCCTGGCATTTCTCCACATCTCCACCATCATCCTCGTCATCGAAATCAGGATGATTGTATGCATTTCGTAAAAATATTGTTAAGTCCAAATTTGGTTCTTCTTGCTTCTCTATCATGTCCTTCTCCATAGCGTTCTGTTGATAGAGTAAGTGTTTTAGTAGGCAATAAAAAGGTAAATCAACAGAAATTGAGACCTCATTCTAAAACACAAAAGAAAGCAATCATACGGACGGATGGACGGGCGACGTATATTAGAAGCATCGAAGAAAAAGCATATGAACAGCTTTTCCATGTCATGAAATTATAGGTTGCGTAAAAGTGAGAAAAGAAGAGGAATCAGGCCCAAAACTCAACAGACAAATTGGAGAGACAACTTGACAAGGATGGGTAAGCTCCTGACTACCCAACTCATAACCAAGTTTCGTACAAAGATTTCTCGACAAAATTATTATAGCACCAGCTAACCAATTTCAGGAACAAAAATTAGAGAATGTATGCTACAGGTTTATGAATTACCTCCAAAGGGTAGTGAGTGAATGCAGCCTCAAAACGCTTCTTGCAGTAATTGTGAAAAACCAAAGTCAATATCGGTAACGCTACCATGAAGGGTGTCGAGCTAAAAGATTCTCTCACATAACGAAGGATTTTGTCCTTGACGCTCTGTCCAGGAGATGTTTTAACAAAAGATATCGGACCATTGACAAGAAATAAACCGATGAGTGTAAGATGCTCTATAATAAGAGCAGCGATGATGCGTCCGTGAACATGAGTCCAGAACGCTCCTGCACTCTCATATTCAGGATCATACACGTTGATAACCTACAGCCATCTCATCCAACGACAATGATCGTTATCACATTGACGGTCAGTTAATGATGAATCGACAAGTGCAAAAAATTATTGTTTTCCGAAAAGTGAGATCCAGGCCCTTTGGTACTGTGATACATGTCTCCAGGTACATTATTTCTGATCCTATCATTCCATAGCACTAACAACAATATAAAGTTAAGATTTGACAAGCAGTAAAAAATCTCATACCGCAGACGGAATTACGATAAGATAAATCGTGAAACCAGATCAAGCGTTTGACATTAAGAGTGTACCTGATTACGGTAAACGAGAAAACCGAAGCCCATGAATACGACAATAAATGGGATGATGATTGGTGTGATAACAGAATACACTAGACCCATCAAAAAATAAAGTTGCAGTTGAGGCAGCGACTCATCCAAGGAGAGAGTTCCTGGGTCGGCTGCTTCCAGCCTGTCTTTGTCGGTTCTGCAGAATAACATATTCCGAATATGATACTTCACTAGAGGCTTGAGCCGAAGTATTTCACCAGCTGGACCGGACCATCCATCGACCATGATATACGTGATGAAGAAAGACGCCTTCTGAGGTATAGATGATGCGAGTGTGTTCAGAAAGCTGTTGACATAACAGCTTAATGTTAGAGACAACAGGATTGCTGTAAGCATACACTAACTACCAAGAATGAATCATGAATTTGACATTTCTGTAACACACATGACGAGCAGTTACGTCGCGGTTGTAGCTGCTATCAACCTTGGCGTGACCTAACAGAAGATATTAGGTCCATGTCAGAGCATAAAATGAATTCTTCTGAAGTATTAAAATCCAACTCAACAAACACTTAGAAAAGCTCAAACACTACGTTTTAACTCTCCATATTGCAGAAACGCGATTGAAATTTGTCATGCAAGCAATACGGATATGAATCAACACGATGGATTAAAGGAACATACTCCAAGAAGGATGAGGATGTCACAAATGTCTTCAGCTGCTGGAATGCAGTTCCAGTAAAGATACTCCCAAAGAAGATATTGACCACGACAAAGATATAGTACTTCGCAGCAGCGCGCCGCTCAATCTTTGATACTGCAAGATGACCTTCAAGTTTTGTGATAATTTTTATGAATTTCGGCAGAAATTTGAAGAAGAGCTTCAACGCAAGACCTGGCAGGAAACCTTGAACAAATGATGAAACAAAGCTCCTGTTTTCCACAAGAGACCATGGCACAGTTAAACTAGTGCCCTTCAATCCACTTAAAGTCACTAACCAAATAATAGTTACTGGATCATTTCTTGAAAAAGCAGTAAGCTCAACCACAAAAACATTAACGACACAAAAATCATCAACAGTGAACCTGTAGAAGTCCCTGTCTGAATCCATCAGGCATGTAAAAATAAACAACTCAAACGTGTATCCTCATCGATACCGAATTGTACATGAATGATGCGGGAACTTACTTCTGCAAGAATCCATCAAGAGCAGGTATCGATCTCCGAAGCCCTTCAAGATTTGCCAAAGATTGTACGGCGGCAATCGGAATCATATAAAAGAAGACCAAAAGAAATACAATACCGCCAACTGCAAGTTTTCGGAATCCAAGTTGCACATACGGTATTGAAAGATTCGACCAATATACATCTCGTGGTTCGGGCGCACTTTCTGTAAGCCACAACGTTGGGTCTTGGTTTTGTTGGGTTTGAGCACACACAACAGCCCCCCAACGATTTTTAAAGGAGACAAACGCAGCTGGCATTGTGGCATTCGGATCGTTTATCACAACTTCACGCTCAGCTTGGGCCTAGAAAGAGGTAAGCACAAATTTCCAGTGAATGAAAACGCAGCGTGTATGCATGCAGAGTCCTATGAAAGAGGACAAAACTACGCTCACTGATCAGGTCAAGTCGTGTACACTGGCCCATAGCAACATTTTCTTGAGCGGTGTTTGTCAGGCTCATTTCAGTGAAAAGTGTACAGTTTTCTAAACTAAGGTCGTCAGAGCAAAAACCTACGTCAATGATAACCGAATAGATCATAAGTTACAAACTAATTTTCGAAAAATCTCCTAGCACGGCATGCAACACATTCTGATAAGTGCTAGAATAGTTGACAATGTTCTCATTACCAGGGTCATTTTGAAACTCAAATGGCATAAGAAATGTATTGCAGCTTACTGTAATGATGATGGATTAACACTTACTTCTTTAGTCAGTCGTTCAATTTCAGACGTGTAGTAATCAATTGCATCAACTTGATCTCCAAACATACCAAGAAAACCCGTCTGCACAGAGCCCGAATATTACGCATTAACAACAGAACTAGCCGAAGAAGAAAATGACAACATATATAATACGTTTTATTCAAATCCAAGTCATCACAAGACTTGACCTGAACCAAACCCCACCTTATTCCATTTATATAAAATTCTTCACTAATGCACTCTAACTACAGTACACATCACGTAAATGTAAGACATTACCTTGGTGACAGGTCTCATGGCTGGGTTTCGCTGATACTTTATTTGGAAATACACCAGCCAATTCTGTGCTTTGTCTCTTTCTTTTACAATCTTGGACAGCTGGTTTGCATTGTACGCCATCTGTTATCCAATGCAAATAGGGTACATTAACCGGACTTGCGATCCATTCAGTAGCACAACAATTTATTCGCAACTACAGTGTATGAAGGTGAGGTGAGACATCTGAGTGTTGTTTAAACCGATGGTACTGGATGATTATTGTCACCTCATGGCTGAGACGTCACTCTATTAAGACCAGCTACCTACAATTACTGTAACTCAAACCAGAATTAGAAAAGTTATTAGAATATCAATAAGCATCTAGTTGAACCCGCCAGTATGTCGGAGCTTAAGGCTAATTGAAGATAAGAATAAAGTTAAGACTAGATGAAAATACCTGATGCGTTAAATAATTATCTGGATGGTATCTGCGGAAATACTGCTCCACTTGTTGATCGAGAGGCTGCTTGCCTGTGTTAGGTATTTGCAGAACCATAACCTGTAGCCAGCACAATTTTAACAGGGATTGTTTCTCCTTAGGCAGTAGTCCGCTCAAAAGAAAAGAAAAACTAACAGCTAGATTGCAAGTTTCTTAAGGCAGAAAGACTACATATGCAATAAGGGGAATGTGAAATGTAAAAGAAAAGCCTTACTGTGAACTGATCCGGTCGCCTTTGCTCATCACAGAGGAACCTCAGACGCAACGCTGCAATGGCCTTATATTCCATGAATAGGATGTAACAAACCCAGGCCGTAAACACGTACGACATAACCAAATGCGCCCAAAGTCTGCACATTGCGTACAATTCACAACGTCGGACTCCAACATCTTGACGAGTAGTACCCATGTGAGCCAATTTTTCTAAAGAGTAGCAACGAACTAGTGGTTTAAAAACTTGTCACCCTGCAGCTTTACCAAAATCAGCCTTAGGGGATCACTTCCTAACGTGATCACCTTGAAGATCCATTTGGCACATTCGACATAGAAAGTTTGTCAATGCTGCTGAACAAAAACTTCGTATCTGTGGTGTTAGCATTCACATTGTCTGTCCCGGTTTCAGGCAGAGATCCCGCTCCGACGTTCACAGGAATTAATATCGCCATGCCCAGTATCATCAAGGGCACAAAGATCTTTAACCTGCAAGCCCAGAACCAGTCCACCTGATTAGTTTCTTTCTTGTAAATTTGAAATCTAAGAATAGGAACTCGCGACCGCTTCGTGACGTTTATTTCGACAGTAACTTAATGAAAGGTATTGGTTTTAAAAAAGAAGAAAAATAGACTCTGCTGAGTCAAAAGACTGCTGCATAGTCATTCAGCCTGCATTTTCCATGGTATAACATCTATTCCGATGTTCATGAGAACACAATGACTTAAATAAAAGATAATGTCCACCTTACTCTTACTATTAAACTATATTATTGTATGCAATGCAAATACAAAAGTATACAAACAAATGAGAAATCCCATAGGAAGATACTAAGGTGAACGATATCACAGAGCAAATTGAAGAAAACCCTAGAAAAGCATAGGGAAAAGAAAAGAAAAGTTGTTTGCACCAATGCGATCGACTGCATGTATTCTTTTAATTAGTAATTTGCATGAAGTGAATTACAGTTGAAATTAGTATCAGAATGGTGAGTGATGAAAATATAAACAGTCACTCCCAGAAAGCACAAGAATTGCACGAGTTCGAAATTTCATGGGTGCATTTCATGATGGTGAGAGATTGAAGCAAAAAGAGGGACACTAACCCGACCAAGAAGATGCGGAGATATACTGCCGAGTCAAGTCCCGAATGCTGTATAATATCATCCTCAGTCTTGCGAAGTGCAGACTTGGCCCAATCTAACAGTCGCATATAATGACTGACCTCAAGATTGACGTACTTCTCGACGGGCTTCAGCGGGCGTGGAGACGCTCTTGGTCTTTCCTTCCGAATGCCTCTGATATAGAGCTTAGGATAGTACACGATGTCATTTACAGGTTGAATACTAAGAAATACGAAACTCAGGAGGAATAGTATTGTTAAGCCGATATTGACAAGAGCCGACACACCAATGTCCTGTAATGTCGTCATGCCCTGCGCCCGCTAGTTCTATCCTTCCGTACTCAAACTGATTCACTATCGACTTGTATTCTGTTACACTCTAGAAGTTGCAGCTTCCCGAATCCGTCCAACGCTTAGACTGCTCATCAAATTCTTAACTCACCATTGTATTACTCCTCTATCCTCAACTCCCTTTGATCCCACCGAACCGAGTGACCGGTGCATGTTTTGTGAAGGAGAACATCGCATTAACCTGGTCCCAGTCTCCTTCAAGGGAGACTATCTTCAATCCATGGGTTATCGAATGTCGCGAAGTATTTTAAAGCAAATACAACAAGTTTATTCAATCATTTGCAATGCCTCCAAGTCCATACACTACACGAGTTTCCCCAAATCCCCACTGAAAGGAGAACTTTCGAAAGCTTTCATGGGTTTAAGGTGATCACTTCAGCAACGCCTACAGCTCGTCACGTGACACACATTCCCGTTGCACAAAAAGGCAATCATCAAAACCAAGCCTACGAGCTGCAAGCATGGTAGAACTCAAGCACGACCGCCTTGTTCAACCCCTCAAGAAACAAATTTCATGTCTACAAACTCACCTAACCCCCAGAGCTGAAGGAAACAGACGAATACAGACCAAAAAAAACAGCTCTAACGCTCACACTCCAAGAGACGCAACAAAAGAAACCCCCCAAAAACGCCAGAAAACTTGCACTACTTCCTCCACCAGGTCAAAAGCTTCGCTCGCAGCTCAAACCTTACAACCAAACACCGAGAAAAACCACCGCAGTGAAACTCCACTCCACTCAACACTCACCGTCTCCACTCGCAGCTCATTAACGGAACAGAAACCGACGGATTTTTCCCAAGACAATCTGCCACAAACCATCAACAACTTCAGGTACGCTGTCCAAGCGAGCACGAGAAGACAGACAGGAGGGACAATATCACAAGAAACCCAAAACACTATCAACAGACCAACACCACCACCACAAGCAACCCAGCTGCAGTGAGCAAGCAATTGGCAACATCGAAGGCCAGCAATAGAGTTGGCAGAAAGCCACACAAACACGATTCTTCTAGAAGCATCGAGGGGGCATGGCTGATGAAGCACAGGCACAAGCAAACTGCAGAGGAAGAATTACAATGGCTACAATGCTGAGTCTGAGAAAGCCAGAGAGGGGGACGAGGAGGAGGTCAGGGCAGCTGCGGGCGCGAAACGGACGTGGAGTGGAAAGCGGGTCAGCCCGTTGGGCCGCGGCCTGGGGACGGGCCGGAACCGAGGGATTGCAACAGGCAAGGACGGCGACAACGCGTTCTGCTTGGAATCCGTGTGGGCAGGCAGGGTCGACAGTTCTGGCCCGAAACAAGGACCCAGGGGGGACTTTTGGTCATGGGTCGAGTCCAACTGTATTGGGCGTATCGGTTTCGTCGGGGAGTGGGATGGTGAAGTGAGCTTAGCTGGCAGGCTTAGGATGCCAGCTAAGCAGGAGAGAATGTTTTGCGGCGGACGAAAGGGTTTGGAGGGAAGTTGGGCTCTGCAAGTTGCACGTTTTGTGATCGGGGATGAAAGTGGATGAAAATTGTCGCCCTTTTGAATGAATGAATTAATGGATGAAGTTGACCCAACTCCTTGGGGTTGACTTGCACATGGGCTTGGTATCTTTCGATTTTGCATTTAATGTGGCGTAATAACTTTACAAGCATGAAAAGGAATGTTTATGTGTGTCGATGTTACTAGAGTAAAAATTAAATTAAAAGTAAATTAAATTAAAGTAAATAAATAAATAATGCATGAAGATGTTTACAATGTCCATTTATTGTGTCTCTGCAATGAAGTTATGGTATGGTCAAAGTTGATGCTAGAATTCACGGTGATTAATGTAGCTAAATGGTGTAGTGCAGGCAGTTGTAAAGAGAGATGTTGCTGAGTGAGTACAAGTTTGCATGTGTACATTCAAAAGATTTTTTTTTAAGAAAGAATTGTAATTTTTATATTTAAGCATCTGTGCACTAATTTAAATATTTTAAATAAGAATCTTAATGATAGGATTTAATTTTTTGTTTTTAGATACTAGTTTTTTTTTGAGGTCTTTGGTATAAATTGTAGAGGTTTAGTAAAAAAAAAAAAAAAAAAAAAAAAACACTTTTTAATCATTCACTTTCGAAGTGATTAATTTGTTATTTACTGTCAAGGTATCTTTGATATACACAAATATTCTTATAGTTAAGGTATTTGAGCACTTGTGGTACAAAGTGATTAATTTATTATTTACTATAGAGAGATCTTTGATATCAACAAGCATTCTTATAGATTTGGTATCTGAGCACTTCTGGTAGTATATAGAGAGAACAATGTCAAACTTATATTTCCAACTTCAATCTTATAAAAATATATTCTCTGAATATTATTATTATTGATTTTTTGTAAAAATATGGTCTAATTTGAGGAGTTTACAAAATGAAAGATACATATCTTATCAAATATCTCTCTCGCTTTCTCTCTATATATATGAATTAATATGTATGTGTATATGTATAAATATTTTTTTAACACCTTATTTGTAAATATAAAAAATATATATTGTAGAATTATTTTGCATATGTACTATTTTTTTTAAATTTTTTCTTGACATTTGATTTGGCTTTAGCATAAATAGGATTGCAGAGAAGATAAATTCAAATAACTTATGTTTATAGAATAAAATGCATGCATAGAAAATAATGCTAATTAGTTTCAGTTAACACTTGTGTAATCAATGATATATTCTTACAAATGAGTAATCAATCAAATAAGATTTTTATTTATTTTTTTAAATATAAAAATAAAATATAACATATACATGAATATAAGAACATATAAAAAATTCTAAAAAGTTTATCATAACAATTATTTTGCATACTTTTGCCGATTTTGGTGCTTACAAAGTTCTGGTTTAAGATATAAAATAAGATGATAAGAGATTTATTAAATTTCTTTAACTTATATTGTACACGTTTAATCTACTAATATATACATGACAAGTTAGAATAATTTTTATCTAATAGCTATAAAATAATACTTGTATTTTTTATTCTAATTTTAGTATAATTTTAACTTTTTTTAATCTTTGCTTTAAAGTTATTACATGAAAAGTCAACAAGAGATTTGTTTTTGAAGCTTAAGTCTTAATTCTTGCAATAAATTATTTTTGGACTATTCTAACATGTTAAGTATTAACTATAAAGGTTTAAAATAATATCTACAAATATTTTTAGAAATAATTTATATATGTGTATGTATATACAACAAAATCAAAATACCAAAAAAAATTAAATGTCCAAAAAAATTAAATAATTTAAAAAGAGGTATGTTACAAATTAAGATTGTAAGTACAAATTGGCTATTTCTAAGTACAATTAAATTAGATAAACTTAAACTAAAGCTAGAATAAATAAAAGACATTGATAAGACTAAGAATGGCCTTAGCCCTGCTGCTTTATGTATTAGGAACCAAAAAGAAAATGTAGAGATTTTGAAAGAATTACAAGTTATTTGAATGAAGTAACTAATTTACAAAATACCTCTTAAGTAGTTTCTTAGAATAATAACTTTAGTCACATAGTGCACTTATAAATTTAGCCCATATTTCAAAATGTAATTTAATAGTATCTAAAGGATATTTTAATTAAACTACTAATATCTATCTCATAATATTTTAAATTAAAAAAACAGAATTATTCAAATCATTATGCCAAATCAAAAAAAAAAAATGTATCTAATATGAGTATAGAACATACAAAAGAATTTAATAGAATATTCAAAGAGATAATAATCACTTTGCTTCTATCTATAGATACATAATGTGAATATTTTAGAATATTATAATAAATAAAAAAACCAAAAATAGTTTTAAAAATATTTAAAAGTTGAAATTTGAATTGTGGTGTTTTTTTTTGTAAATTTATAATTTTATTTATTTAAAATCTATTACATAAGTAAATAATCATTTGATGGATAGATCAAATAATATATATATATATATATATATATATATATATGTATTCAAGAATATATTTGATAATATAATGTTATTTCAGCATTTAAATCTTTTAGAAAAACATTTACAATATTCTTCTCTAAGGCAGTAGTTTTAATTAATTTTAAATACTCAAAGTCAATAAACTTCCACTACAAGAAAGAATTAAACTAAGTTATGCAAAATTCTATTTCTATTATAAAATATTTTTCTGATGAAACAATATGGCACAAAAGACAGTCATTTGTATGGAAGACAATATCTTGTTAATCAATCTTAAAATCAAAAGAACATAAAAAAATATTAAATTTTTATTTTAAATTAATAACTCAAAAAAAATCACTAAATATTTTATTATATAAACATAATTACCATAATTATCAGAGGTTTTATAAACAGTTATCATATTAATTTTTTATACTAAATTGAAATTAAAATAAATATTTAAATTTTATGATATAAAGGCTAGTTTTTTTTCTAATTAAAATAATTTAATAGATAATAGCTTTTACCTAAAATCTTAATCATGAGTTTCAAAACGTTTTAAGACCAAAATATTAAAGATATAATTCTATTATAATGTTATATATATTAATAAGAATAAAGACATAAAACAAATCATTAAAATGAATGATATTTCGTCTTTATTATTTATTTAAATGAATGATATTTTGTTATTTTTTCATGTAATTAATCAAAGATAACTGCATAACTCTTAGCTGAATTTTTGTAGTGTAATTTATTAATTTAATGCAATGCAATGCATTATACCAGTCAACAATTCTTGTATGTGCATGTTTGCAATAGCAGTCGGAGTGTCAATGGTGCCAAAGATGCATGTTTAAATCAAAAAGTATATTTTGATAAATAAATGTTCTGGAAACTAATAGATGCTATTTATAAATTATGCTATCAAAACATTATGTTTTAGTAATACGTTTTTTTGTGCCAATATATTATATTTATGTTATTGAAGTTTAAATTCTATTATTCATTGTATTCTAAAAGATACTATTTATTAAATTAGTTTTTTATATAATATTTTTTAATAAAAAAATATATAAAAATATATAAAGTTTAATTGTTTGATTAATTAAGTTTTTTTTGTATTCCAAAATTGAATATAAAAATATAATCCCATTTAGGTATTTAATATTTAAGTTTTTTAAATGAGTTCTTTTAATCTCTTCTTTGGTTATGTATTTGAAGGTTTGTGTATATGCATGTGTCACCAAGTAGGATTCCTACTACATAATTATTACACATTATAGTATCTTATTTAGTAAAATCAAATGTAAAATAATCTAAATATATTAAAGTAAAATATAAAGAATAAAAATACAAAATACAATTTTTGTAAAATAATTTTTAAAAATAAATATTATAAAATAAGTTATAAGAATAAGATAATAATAAATTATTAGAGAAATCATCCAATGGGTTATTTTTAAATAGTTAAATTTTGTATTTATGGCTTAAATGATCTGACAAATTTGATACTTTCAACTTAGATTGAAGGCTCTTGTGATTATTCCAATGCTGAAAGCACATATAAAATTTTAAATTTGCTATTAGGCTTATCTTGGTGTATGTTCAGATTAAAGACAGTTTTACAAAATGTGATTTATTTGGTTAACAATAAGTTCCACATTATCCCCTACATCATTGAGTTTCTTATAACCTCTTCCAAATACTTGGTTATTTTTCAATAATATTTCTATAAATTACTTCTTCCAAATTTGTCAACGATGCATGCTTCTTCTCATTGTTCTACTTTGCTATTATATATATATATATATATATATATGTGTGTGTGTGTGTGTGTGTGTGTGCATGTATTAAATTCTAATATTATATTTCTATTTCTCTTATGGTAGTATAGCCTTTCAACACCTTATTCTATTTGCTTCCAACTCTAGGTCTAATTTTTCTTTAATCAGCTGCCAAACACCCATTAAAAATTTGTACTTTTTAAAATGGGTAATCATGTTGTTAATTTCTCTACTATACTTACTTTCTATCATTCAACTTCTTCTACATAAATAATCACCCTATACAACCTTGATCCTCTATTTATTACACATTCAAGTAACCTTTTAAAACAAAGAAGATCAAAGGAATTTGTATACTACAAATAAAAATGAAAATGAAGAGTACTGCACTATAAATATAAAAAATGAAACCTCATCCTACATTTTAGACATTTTCGTTAGTACCATCTCCAACTTATGTGAGCCCTAATTAAGGTTTCAACCACACAGATAGCCTATTTCCCCTCTAGAAATCCTTCCCACCAAATCAATATTTCCATCAACATGCTAAAATACACTAAATTTCTACCTTTGTAAAATTCAATTTGTATATATATATATATATATATCCAAGTAATTCACACCATCAGTGAGCACACCTCATAGTGCAGCTTCAAAGGGAAATGGCCATTACCTTCATGAGTCTGAGAAACTGCGGCTATGTAGAAGAAAAATCAGAGCATGCATGAGATCAGCTCAACTAACAAACATCACACGAGCCCCACCCGCCCATCCACACACACACTCACACACTCACCAGCACCAGCATTGGGATGCTCTGTTGGGCCTGGCGATGCTGCTGACAAGGAAGGGCTATGGCAGAGCTGCTGGGGCCATGGCAGAGAGGGATCAGAGCTGGAAGAGCATCATCTCAGGATAAGCTCTTCTGCTTCTGGAGCCCGTATCTCTCTCTCTCTCCTCATGCCCTTGGGCATGGCATCTAGTCCCCTCTGGCACTACCCCATGTCAGCTTGCGTGACAGACCCTGGTTTGGTACAAAACCCACGCCAACAGTTGGTGCTGGCCCTGACACAGACTTTGCGGTGGAACCGTTGTTTTGGTGAGTGAGAGAGAGAGAGCCACTGTGTTTGTGCTTTTGGTCCCCATCTGGTTCAGTGTGTCTGCGAAGAAAGGGCCGAGGAAGTAAAAAAATGGATTTTGCGTGCATTGATCGATCCAGGTGGGGAAATGACTCTAGATGAGTCCGTTGAAGTTTGAATGTTGGGTTGTTGTTGTGATCTAGCATTCTGATTGTTATCTTCCTCTGCTCATAACTGCTTCCGGGGATGCGTGGTTACAGAGGCTAACGTTGCACTTAACTTGAGATGTGGATTAGAGCCTCTCGCTGGGTTGGGTTTCCTCGTCATCACCGGTAACGGAACTAGTTGGACTGTATGTTGCCAAATGAGCTTGACGGATGACTTGAGGATGGAGCTAGAGCCCGCTTTCTATTCTTTGGATTATGGATTAATAGCAACAATGATAATGAAATCATGGTGAGTTGTTGCTCTTGCAATGTAGCACAAAGTTCTGCCTTGTTGAGTGAAAATCTAGTGAATCGTTTCGTTGTGTGAATGCGAAGACTTCATTGAACGGAACAATGTGAATGGTTTCTAAATCTTATGGTTAGTTCTGAGTCTCATATCATTTAATGTTAACTAGCACTGCGCCCAGAGTTGGTGTCACAAGAAATGATAGATTATTCGAGAATCAGGTCAATGAAAGCACTCCGCACTTCAGAACGTCGACGTATAATCGCGGCTACAAGCTTATGGGAGTTTGAGGTTGTGGAAAACATCGGACGTAATAGATGAAGTCCTTCTGGGTACTTCACATGTTAAAGAACCTGAGTTCCAGCAGTTACATGAGCAATTCTCCTAAAAAGAATACAAGGTTGGGTTTGAGTGAACCTCAGAAGTTAAGATAGAAAAACAGATAAAACGTCTTTAAAGCTTCTAGGTGATACATTGCATAAACACATTCATTGTTGACATGTAAAGGTTTCTGAGCAACTTCCACCCAAACACGAGTTCTGTGCGTACACTAAAGTTGAGATATCAAAGATCAATCCAAAGGACTAATGAGGTGATGGTAAAATAAAGTCTTGCTTCTCACCATCAACCCTGGATTTCATTTCAGAACTGATAGCCAGACGTTGTATCTCACTTGACAAGGACCCTCTATCCACCAATCCTCGGCGGGTGTGTGAAGACCTCGTAAAGAGACATCGCATTTTGAAGTTTCTCGTTGTATCTATTTATCTGTGAAACTGTATCAGAATTAGAAGCACAATAATTCTCACTGCTACATGTTTTAATAATCTAAGTTCCTACACGTGGAGTTGAGTGGTTTGTGATGTATACATGAGGGAGACCTAACTGCAGTCTCCTCAACCCTCTCATACCTGCAGGTGATTCTGAAGTCCAAGAAGTCCATCGTCGACAAGATCATGTTAGAGTAAGAATATTAAAAAAAGCGTTTTATGTAGCCACTTTGTAGCAATATTTGAAGATGATTCAGATCCTACGGGACGGCTCCTTTCAGACTTGTTGCTAGCTTCTTTGGCCTAAGCTCTGAGTGCAACATTGTATAAATTTCGGGGACATTCATATGGTTCAGATTGCGGTGTGTGGGTGCGTGATACTAGGAAGAGGGAAGAGCAGGCATCGCTCCACAAATCCAATTTACTACTTCACCCAATGTACTTCTGTACTATCAACACAAGAAGATTACATCTTCGCAGAATAATTTGCCAATGGATTCCGAAGACTCGTCCGCCGAAAGTTGCACGCAAAATTGCTTAGACAGCCCTTCAGCGATGGAAGGCGTTACTCACGTCCATGAAATATGTTCACAAAATCTGATACAGAAACATAGATAATTAGATGGAACGAGTTCTTTAAAACGCGGTCTAGTGAAAAGATCCCAATTTTCGGAGTCATTCTACAAATTCTGCATCTTAGCATTAAAAGTTTACGATAGAACTAGCTTTTTTGTGTCCTAAATATTCCGCAATGTTCAACTTGATAGAGAAAGGAATTAGAAACATTCACTTCGAGACTCTGGAACAATGCAAAAACCTTCTATAGAGTGCGAAGGAGAATGTGTTTTTGTTTTTGTATTGCTACACCTGCTCACTTCTTCCTTTGCACCGTGATCATTTTCGCTGTTGTATTTTTGGAAGCAAGAGTAATAAATATTAGTACTATTAACTCATAGTTCTCAAACCTTGTATTTATTTCGCTTATATACGGCACTGTTACAATTGAGTGGGTTGCATTGAAGAACCCACCAGGCATGGACAGCATATTTGTGCATTGTACAACAATGGATGTTCGGAGACCAATTTTGCTGTAGATTTTACGCATACAATGCGTGCTACTCAATGAGATACCATGTGCATCTCTGAGCCCATGCCTTTTCTGGCGATGACCGAGAACAGCCATGAAACTAACTGCATTGCAATATTTTGCGGGGAAAGACAATGTTCGATCTTTGTCTATTCACATCGCATGCGTTGGGAGGGCTCTCACAAAATGTGACCTTTTCTGCTTCCCTGCAATAGCATTTGAAGTCGCAGATTTTGCGAACGACGGGATCCTCACACTAAAACAATCTACACCAGATCGCGAACATACGAAGTCATCAGTCGATTATACTCTCCCAGAGTCTGCACAGCAGCAGATCAACTGACCATCATGGAGTAGTTTAATATTATCGGCGTGTTAGCAGAACATCCAAAGCCAGACAAACAGGTCACATGTTTCGCCAATTGGCAGTCCCAGTCCTCAGCAAATTGTTGTCACTGTAGCTGGTAAGAGAGATTGCTGAGCGAAAGGACTCTGCTGGTGGCGTCGATAGTGGAATCATGCAGGCGTGGGGTAATCCCATGATTTCGAAAAGCTACAAGCATGATAGAGAGGGAGATGACCTTTCAACCGAACTCCAGAATCTTCGTCTGGTTCTACAAATGTAATTGGGGAAAAGGTATTCCTCACAGCGGGATCATGGTCCACTGGGAAAACAGATGTCCTCACTTCACTTTGACCACTATGTAACTTTTCTTGTGCACAGTTGCACACGGGTCATTCTACAACCTATTCACTCTCACATTGCTGTATGTCTCCTCACTGTCCTTAATATTTGACTTCGCCGGCAATGAAGGCATTTCAGTTATGGTAGAAACTTTAGAATCGGTAGTTAGGTTGAATTTTCTTATCCTTGCGCACTCGATGTTCTCATAGTTTGTTGTTGCAACATCGCATCCTTAGGCTGTTGTGTTACTCTAGTCTCCTACAGATTCTCTACAGGTTCCACACAGGCATCATCATTTCCCTCTCGAAGAAGTAGTGACAGGTTGTGCTACAAAACAGTCATTGGTTTTCATTCAACATATTCTTGATCTGCTTGTGCTGCGTGCAGCACTATGCGAGCTCTTTCTGTGGATGCTTTTCACTACTTATAGGCGGCTTACTGAGGTGTTCCCGAAATTGAAAGTACTGCTGGGGTCGTCGATCTTACAGTTGCTCTCCAAAGGTTTTATGCGGACTGTTGGCATTGTGCATATATTTTTTAGGCTGATTCAGCTTACAGTAACGCAAACACATGAAGAGCCTTGTATTCATGCTTGCATGTGAAGTTGGTGAACAGCTTCGTTAGTGTTGGAGGATTACACTGAGAGAGAGGTATATACTCAGGACCGCTCATTACCCGTTCCTGAAAAAAGTCATTAATTAATTAGTCTTGTCGGCATCTGTTTCAGATTCTTATCCTTCACCAAGTCGATGGCATCCACCAGCGCTGTGAGCTCGGCGATGGTCGTTCTTGCAGTCATATACAGCGTCGCAGTCATGGCCAATGCTCAGGCCACAGCTCCTGCTCCTCCACCCGATAATGCCGCCTCCTTGTTGATGCCTTCGTTTGTGGCGTCAGCCATGGGTGTGATTCTCACCCTCTTCGCAACCCGAATGCTCTGGTAAGCATACCGAAGTCTCCAACGACGGAGTAGACCATGTTTGCCGTGATTGAGGAGCCGCTATGACGACTGTTTCACTTAGCAGCTAAGATCACGAAGATCAGCAATTTTATCCATTGCGCAAGACACTCTCCTCGTGCTTTGGATATCCAGGTTAACATGGTGCGCAGATTGCAGTAGTCAGGATTCCTCATGCCCTCGATCATCAACTATACATAGTGGAATCTGTGTTCAAAGCAGAGAATAAACGATGATGTGTACTATTGAGGTTTTGTCCACAACATGGTGTTTCCAGAAAACAATAAACATCACAGAAAAGGAAGGGCTGCTTCGATTTCCTTCAGCTGATTGTGCACTCTAAACCCACACCGACTGCGTCAAAAATTCTCATTCTTTGCTACATTCGATAAACTCATGCTCATATTCCTTTCAAATCATGCTGCAACACACTTCGTGTCTGCATGTGAGGAAATCAGAATAGATATATACTGCTGGAAATTTGCACTTCGTGTTCCAGTGTACATCCTTCTGCCTCGTTGTAACAACCCAGTTTTTGTTTTTGCTACTTCATGAGAAGATATGATGATTCTACCTTGACACATTTGTAAGAAGTTTGCATGTGCCGTTGTTGTTTCCCCATCACCACCGACATCTCCAAATGATCAGGACTCATTCTAAAAACTCTATTTCAGCTTTGGCCTAATCTGAATGCATGCAATTATGTTGCAGTTGAGTAGGTTGATAACTGCTGCTGCAGTTGGAATGGAAACACACACCAAAGTAGCGGGATTCTCAGACCTAAAAGCATCATTTAAATGTGCATTTAAATGTTTATTTATTTATTTATATTTGATTTAGTCAGTGTATACCCAATGCATTGATTACATGGGTAAGTACATGACATTAAAGGACCATGGATCCAAAAACTAGGTGGTGAATGAAGCACTATTACTAATATTAGACTAAATATTAGGATATGTTAGATGCTAAGCTAGTGTGTAAAATTATAGTGTCATAAAGAAGACTCAAAGTTCACCTTATGTATAACTATAGTGCCATAACTACATGCCATATATTAGAGACCAACTTGTGTTAAATGTGTTGAGTTTGGAAGATATGTTCTTTGCAAATATAACTTGTTTTTAAGAGAATATTGATTATGTTTTTGATTTAAATGACTTCTTCTTTTCTTTGACCTTATAGATTTCATCAAGATTTTTTTATTATTTGAAAGTAGTTAAGTTCCATGGTTACTATTGTTTTTAAATAAGTTTTCTATTAAGGTTTGCAATATAGGCCATAATATGAATGCATGATTATTAATAACAAGTTTAGAGATCAAAGATTCTCCCTTCAAATGAATAGTCTAGAAACTTCATCATCTTCATCAACCTCTTTTACTTTGGTAACAACTCTAATCACTTTTACATAGCCTTGTGTGTAAGGTAATCATATGTTAGTAGATCTAGTATTTTACAAAGATGAAAGTTTATAGTAAACATATGAGAGTCTTAATTGATTCTCAAATTTTTATTTTATTATTTTAGATCTTAACATGAGAGATTAATTGTTGGCAATCATATTAAAAGTTGTGGTGGCCTAATTGAAAGATATAACCTAACAAGAGGGTTTTTTTTGAACTAGATTATCCTATCCAATCATGGAATTGAGGAGACTTCAAGCGTGCACCAAGTATGCATTGCCAAGACCAAACATATCTTTTTTAGAAAGATGTAACCAAGAAATTGATGCACCACAATATACTTTATAAATGAGTTATATTATGCACCACAATATCTCTTATATGAAACAACTCAAGAGAATAAATCAATAGAATAAATCAAAGGAGACAAAAACCATCTCTAATTCGTTGCATATCTCATTGTAAAGTGAAGCATTAATTCAACTATTAATCAATCACATATCAAAATCTACATGTTGTTGTCTTAGATTGTCTAGAGTAGTATTGCAAGATCACTAGACATAGAATTCAAAAGCTCCCATTGAATAAATAAACTAACAAATATCTTCCATTGGCCACATTTTTTGTGGCCAATAGCACAAGTTTCCACTAGTAATTTATAAAACACTAAATTCATATCCATAGAGAATGTCCATTTTATCTATTGAAGTGAGCAATATAAATTTAAAAAACTTGCAGCGGCATTAATAAAAATTGTGATGGCATGTGATCAACAAAAGTTGTAGCAATAGCAAAAATTATAGTTGCAATAGCTATAACAATAGTAGCATTAGCAACTTCTAACATATATACATATGAAAACCATACATACATACATACATACATGTATATAATTTATACTAAATAATAAATAAATTCAGTTTGAAAAAATAATTGAAAGGTTAAATTAATAATTTAAAGCTAAAAGTATAAAAGTTTAACTTTTGTCTTTCAAGTATTCTTCACAACAATTGTATTGTTTTGCAAGTTCATTCTCATTAATGACTTTGTATTTATTACAAACATTTTATTTACTATGGAGGTGAGTTGGACGTTTCACATTCCATTTGCACTTGCCTACCATGGGAATATACACAAGCTAGCAAACAACAGGAAAAACATGTTTCCAATTTAATCAGTTTCTCCATTTATTTACATACATTACAAAAGCCAAGAGCACTTGGCCTCCGAAGACAATCACATGTCTGGACGCTTTGAGCTACTCTAAAACATGTTAGCTGCTAAACAAATAGGTTAAAAGCTAAGCTAGTTAGATCATTAACTGTCCATGATTTAATAAATTGTGTTATATTCATTGGATACTGCTCTTAGAAAAAAGGTTAGGAACAGCGAGGATAGAATGGATACCCACATGTCTCTCATCCAATTATACGGAACGTGAGGTTATTGGCACCGTCTATTATAGCTAGAATATAAAAGAATGTCTACTTTGGTGCTATGAGGCAATTCCAACACAGTTCTGCAACAGCGTTCGATCGTCGAAACTCTTCTCGTATATCTTTGCCAGGTTCCCTTTCTTGAAATCTTTCAGCTGCCATTGCTCATACTCCTCTATAACCTTTCGAACCTCATTTGCGAGCTCGATGATATACTCATCCACACAACCTGCATCGTCAGGCAACTAACATGTTAGAATTCCATCTTGAAAGCCAAGTACAGTGGTGCAAACACAGCAACTTGAAGATCATAGACATGCACATGAGCAGTGTATTCAGATTGTGGAGAAACAAAAAAAAAAACAAAACAACAGAAGAACTGGCATTAGCTCAAATCCACTTAAATAAGTTAAGACTTACCAATTGCATACAAGGACTTCTCTAGCCGAAACAAATATTCGAAATTTGGACCGGCAGGGCCCGACGCCGTGGCTATTTGGTTCGCCATGTCTCCTAGGGGAGCTGGCCCCAAGTAATACGGATTCTTCAACATGTCAGGGGATCCAATATATACAAGAACTCCAGTGATAGCTGGTTTGTTAGGGGACTCCTCTGTGTAGAAGTCGACGAAAGCCTGTACATCGTACTCAAACTCTCGTATCGCAAGATACTGCACCCACAAATGTTGGATATCAGATTTATCATCTTTCTTATAACAAATAAAAAAGGATGGTTCTAACACAAGATTAGAAAATGCGAGCACCACGGCGTGTATCAACATAACAGTCCTGACTGACAACATACATTACGAAAGACGTAGTGAAACTTACCGAGAGTACTAGTTGTTCAGCTTCATAGCCTGAGATTTTGAAGGCACAACCCGTTGTCCGTTCACCTTCTTGTGGCTCCAACGTGACCGTCCGTCCAGGGTACTCAGGTGTACCTCTGTGATCAGTGCTGGCTGCAAAGTAACTCAGGATTATTAGAGTGCTATTCGTGGCAATTCAAAAAAATAGCTATCGTAACCCTAAAATGCTTGTAATGTTCATTCGCGTACTGCAGTGTAACTTTTTGAAGAAGAATCACGACAATAAAACAAGCTGAGTAGAATTGCAAGGGGCCGTCATGGTGGAAATAATCTCCTTAACACAATGCGACTCCCTAGTTACCTTGATTGAAAACACGTGTGTAGCCTTTGATGAACCCTACCACACGCTCCTCATATTCAAAACCCGCATTCCATATTAGAGAGCCATAGCCAAAAACCCAGAGTACCATTTTTATCGACCTGTATACGTCCGCAATCATCACATGTTTCGGTATCAGTTACACCTCAGCGGCGTGAAGCAAAATCAATTCAAAGACAAATATTCAACCTCGACTGCACCATTCAACTTCCTCACGTCCTCCTAGCATCTTTGTCTTACACGACAATTGCACGTGGAAACAATACTTTTCAATCAAGTTGTCATTTATTTAGCACTGGAGAGAAGTCAAACGAGCTCGAACGCCTCAAGTGGACGCATTACCAGTAAATAGACTAGAATGTGCGTCGCACACAAGGATAAGCTTGAAAGCACTTTCAGAATCTTAGTTGTCTCCCAGCAACTGCTACGGAAGGATCGCTTCAAATGGTGTCTTCGAGTAGTGATAACGAGAACAGTCACGCTTAAAGGCAGAGTCCGCAGACACGACTAGGGAGGAGATGTAAACTTCAGCTATGCATTAATGTGCAAAGTAATGAAGAGTGAGTGATGACCACAAGATTCACGAGAAGGCTACGACACCCTTGTGAATACTATGTAAAGGAAGAGAAGGTGGTATATTAAATCCTGGGGTCATTTCTGTCTCCCTCCCGATCTCGCTATCTCCCCCAATTACAACAGCAACCTGTCTGGATTCCTTCAAGGATTCGTTCTAGAGGTTGATCTCAATCACTACCTAGTGGAAAAATGCAAATGCGACTAGCAGAAAGGCTGGGCAAGAGCACGACTCAAAAGTCACTGCAGACGACTGCGCAGCTGTGTTGACAATGGCATCACGAGGGAGAGAATTGCCGCTCCCAGATTCATATCAATCGATAACGCATGGTAGAAGGTCGTTCCTGCTGTGGCTAGCATTCACTCCAACTCTGCAGTATAAGGTAACTAGCTCGCCACCAAAATGAGACAAAATCCGAAGCTGCTTCGCTCTGCACCTTGTGCGAAGAAAACAAAGATGCCCCACGCTCGCCGGAGAGTACCACACTAAATTCATACAAACAATCGTAAGTACAAAAATTTAGCTAAATCTCCCACAAGATCTGTGCAGGCCACTCGAGACGGATTCGGTGGTGAGTCTGTTGTCTGCGCAGCCAGCGGCGAGCGGCATGGAGCACGCGCACAACTCTCGCCTCGACACCAGCAGCACGCAACTGGGAGATAAAGCCTGCCTTCCACTGAACCACTTTCAAGAGGCGAGGAATATGAACTGGCCCAGGTGACGGATGAACGAACAAACGACAACACGGCCGACTTTCTACAGTGCAATGTGACTTTTTAACAATATTTAAAATTAAACTCTGGTGAACAAGAATACGCGGCCCTCACCACCACAATTATCACGATTCGGGAAAATATTTCTCGTGGGTTGCGTTGTAGGTGGATTGATTTGTAAATCATTATGTCACCCTAGCCATTTGCTTCGGATATTACGAAGAGGCGATCCGTGTTGCAGTGGCAGCAGATTCCTGTCATACAACTCACCATGTCCCCTGATTTGCACCGCAAATACCCTAGATTCCTGTCATACAACGCACCGTGTCCCCTGATTTGCACCGCAAATACCCTAGATTCCTGAAAACAGAAGGGCTAGAGGGGGTAGCGATGGACGACGAACGAACGATCTAGGAGTGGGTGTGGCTACGTGTGCGCCCAGTGCCTTTGTTTCTCGGCGTTGCTCTCGGAGACTCAAAAAAGCTTATTATCAAAACACACTCTCCTGTTTTTTTTTCTTCCACTTGAAACTTCTTTTCGTTCTTCACCTTCTGGACCATTGGCGAGGATCCGATAATCCCATGTTGCCTCTGGCCCACCGCTTAGGCAATCGGCTCCGCTAGATCCATCCAGGAGAACCTGCGCATCCGTAGCGATTGAAAGCAGTTGCTACCAGCAGTCATCAAACTCAAAAACCAAACCCGATCGCCTTTCATTCTCCATCACACACAGAAAAAAATTTGCGAATGTCATTTCACGATGATTATTTGTTGACTTCCCCTGCATTTGTGAACTAATACCCAACAAAAATTTAAATCACAAGCTGTCGTACAGCAGACCATATTCTTGGAAAAGCGTTATTTAAAACCGATTCAGTCTAACTAAATTCTGCATGTGAAGCTCTCCACTGGTCATCCCCGTCTTCCCCTTCCAAAACACTCGGTGGACAGCTCGAAATAAAACCGAATCGAATGCGATGAAAAAAGTTAAACCTACTGGGAGTCACCTCGCGACGAGATACTGAGCCAACACGAGCACCGCGGGTTGTCCCGAAACGCGATTTCTTCGATATGAATTTAGAACCCGGAGAGCTGACAACGCGGTACAGAGAATCTGTCATGTATGTATTTATAGAAACACCGAAATCATGTCCCGGTGCATAACAACGGTGCATTGAACCGGGTCATCCGTCTTCAATGCCTTTCAAACTACTAACCCTCTCCCTCACCGAACCCTAAACTCTAAAACAACCAACACGAGATATGGTCTGTGTCTACGATACACAGTACACGGAAACAATGGTAGTCCTTTGGGGCGTTAGAGCTCACCCACAAGAATGAATATCAATGATTTTTAAAAAAAAACTCAATTTCAAGAAAAAAAAAATATATATATATATATATATATATATAGGGAATTGTTACATTCACCCAAGCATTTACTAAATCAATATACCCATCCTAAACATTGTCAAAAAATTCTCTACTATTGGATCTGCATTGGTCAAAAACCAATGAAAAAATGGTTAGATCCTCACACAATGTTGATGGGTGGGTCAATTTAGTAAATACATGGGTTAATTTAACAATTTTTCTCTCTTTGTACATATGTATATATGTATGTATGTATATATATATATATATATATATATATTGCTAATTGATATCATCTATTGTAGAAAAAATATTACTTGTTAGACATTATTAATCATGAAAGTTAGCATGTTGATGGCAAGATGGAAATCATCTTTGGTAGTGTCGTACAATTTGCTTTTATCATGGTGGCCATGTGATTTTGTTTTTGTTGAGAATGTTTAGAAAGACACAAGAGTAATAGTAAGTCATATACACACATAAGAGTAGTAGTAAGTCATACACACAAGAGAGAAAAATTGTTAAATTTTTACATATGTACAAAGAGAGAAAAATTGTAAGTCATATACACACATATATCTAAAGAGAAAAAGCTTCACACATAAAAATCTGTTGATCTGGTTGTGTCTCGTATATAAGAAGAGAAAAAGGAGAGAAGATAAACAATACTTCTCCACTAGACTCTAAATATTGTAGCTATAATATTTACTATATTCTATAGTAAATATTATGGAGAGCGCCGACTATATTTAATGATCTCAACACTCCTCCTCCCTCATCATAATATTTACATAATATAAAATTTGTATAGAATAATGATCTATACTTTTCTGTGATCTTGCAAGATCAATAATTGTTGCCTCATTAAAACCTTATTTAGGAAAACCTTATTTTATTTAAGGACAAAACCATAGATGAAAGAAAAAGAATACAACATCATGTCACGGATATACATATAATTACCTACAAGAGTCGATAAAAGTATGTAAAAGTAGATAAAAATAGGTTAATTGTACAATATCTTCTAGAGAAGCTTCTAGAAGCTTTATAGACGCTACTTTGACCTTATAGGAGTCCATAGTTGACTTTTAGGTTAGAAACTTGGTCAACAAGTTAGCCATGTGCTACACATGTTGGTAGCTTGAAGGACAAGCTAACTACGTAGTCCACTCATAGAAAACTTGCCTTGCAAGCAAAGACATGTGGCCTAGAAAGTCAACACATATTAGAGGTCTTATAGAATATCGCCACGTGGCTTCTAGTTAGATAGTATATATAGAGGCAAGAGTGAAGCTCTCTTCATTCTTGTCAACTCCTTTCTTGCTTCTAGTTTAGTTTCAAGGGTCTCCAGTTTTCTTGTCTTTTGGCAATAGCCATTCCAGTTTCTCTTTCAATATATATATTTGTTTATTTACCTCTCTTTGAGTGAAGGCTCACTTGTTTGAATTGTTTTTCATCGAGTTTTTGTCCTTGACAGATTGACAAGAGTACACTTACAATATCAGAGCTTTGTTTTTCTTGAGTAAGAGTGGATTACCCCTTTCTCTTGACAAGACATAAGCATATTAGAAGTTTGCGGATTACCCACTTCTAAACTGATATTGTTCTTAGTATCTTCTTTGTTATCAAGTCTTTCTTTTCTTTTGTCTTGAGCAGTATCAAACAAATTTTTCTTCTTAGTTTCATTATGGCAGAGCTTGTTGAAATGAAGAGTGCAATGGCACAAATGCAAGAGCAAATGAGGGAGTTAATGCTTGCGATGCATCAACTCAATTCACCAACACAGGAAAGAACAAGAATAGCAGAAAGTGGGGATATAGAGATGATCGGAGCTGCTTCAACATCTGCAACAAATCATATTCCTTCTCCAATTGTACAACATCCTGTAAGCACTAGAGAACCAAGAATTGCCTTACCCGAGAAATTTGATGGTACGAGATCAAAGTTTCGAGGGTTCATCAATCAAGTACAATTGGCAATTGAACTTCAACCGCAAAGCTATCAAACTCCAAGATCACAAGTCAGGTTTATTGGCACTCTACTTTCTTGTTCTACATTATCGTGGTTTTTGTCTTTTCTTGAACAAGGAAATCCAATATTGGACAATTTGGAAGCTTTTTTGGCAGAGTTTTGATCTATGTATGGTGAACACGATGCAACTCATGTTGCAACAAATAAGATCCGAATTCTGCAACAAAGAAATCGTTCAGTAACAGTGTATGCTTCACAATTTCGACAACTTGCAATTGACATCAAGTGGGATGATGCTGCACTCATTAGTCAATTTCTTTATGGATTGCAATACGAAGTAAAGAAATTGATGCTCAACTTACCTGATCCTCAAACTTTGAGTCAAGCAATCGATTTTGCGGTAAAATGTGATAATCGACTTTTCGAATTTTGATCCGAGAATCATTCACGGGAACCTCAACGTTATTACTCAATGGCAACATCAACATCTTTTCCAAACGTACATTCGAAAGTAGAAGACATGTAAATTGACGCAGTACGTTTTAAACCCCTAATTGAGCAACAAAAGATTCGTTGTCATCAAGAAGGATTATGTTTATATTACGGAGAACCTAAGCACATTGCTCAACATTGTCCAAAGAAACGACGCAACTATAAAATGAGGGGTATGACGGTCAAAGAAGACAACATGTCAGAAAATGGATTCGTCCAGCTACAATAGGGACCATGCAGCTGGAACCTTGTACAATTCCTAATGAAGGTCCTATCTTCTCCTCAGAACCCTCTCCTTATTTTATAATAGACTTATATTTAGGACCTAAGAATTACAAAGCCTCTGCTTTATTAGATTCGGGAGCCTTAGCATGTTTTTTAGATGAACAATTTGTTAAAAGTCGTAAAATACCTTTTGTACAGAAATCTAAACCAGTACATGTAGAAGTCATAAATGGTCGTCCCTTGTCTTCTGGAGATGTCAATCATGAAACTCATCCTATAAAAGTAACAATAGACGGTCATGATAGCTACATAGCTTTTAACATAATTAAATCCCCGTCCAATCCAATTATTTTAGGTTTATCCTAGCTAGAAAAATATAACCCTCGAATAGATTGGAATTCGCATAAACTTGACTTTTTCCAAAGCGTTATTAATAGTTCTACCAACCAAGTAAAAAATTATAAGTCTAGTATAGTAAAACCTGTACTGATAGGTGCAAAAGCATTTATACATGCAGCAAAAGAAGGAACAACTTTTGCTATTTATGCTGCACCTATTTCTAAAAACGTAAAGACTTCAAGTGGCATTCCAAGTCAATATCAGGAGTATCAAGACGTTTTTGAGAAAAAGAATGCAGATATTCTTCTTGAGCATTGCCCATATGATTGTTCAATCGACCTCAAGGAAGGAACTCAGCCACCATTTGGACCAATTTACAGTTTATCGCAAGATGAGATGGCTGAACTCAAGACATATATTGACGAGAATTTAGCGAAGAATTTCATACGCCATTCAAAATCTCCAGCAGGAGCTCCAATTCTATTCGTAAAGAAAAAAGATGGATCTTTACGAATGTGTGTTGATTATCGATGACTCAACAAGATCACAATCAAGAATAGGTATCCATTACCTTTGATATCAGGACTCCTTGACCAGTTGAATCAAGCTAAGATCTATACAAAAATAGATCTAAAAGGAGCATATAATCTAGTACGGATCAAAGAAGGAGATGAATAGAAGACTGCGTTTCGAACCAGGTATGGACATTTCGAATATAATGTCATGCCCTTTGGACTCACGAATGTACCAGTTGCTTTTCAACATCTCATGAATGATGTATTTCGTGAATTCTTAGACAATTTTGTCGTCTGCTATCTAGACGATATCTTGATCTATTCTAAGAATGTCGAAGAACATGAAATACATGTTCGTCAAGTATTACAAAAACTTAGAGATGCAGGATTGTACGCCAAGATGGAAAAGTGTGTATTTCACACTACTCAAGTTGACTTTTTAGGATACATCATTTCAAATGATGGTCTCATGATGGATTCTAAGAAAGTCCAAACAATCATGGATTGGAAGATTCCAAGGACAGTAAGAGATGTCCAATGTTTCTTGGGATTTGCCAATTACTATCGGATCTTCATCAAAGATTTCTCACGAGTTGCAGCTCCACTTACACGCTTGACTAGTAAAGATAAATTCCAATGGAATCAAGAAGCGGAAGCAGCATTTGAAGCCTTGAAGACATCGTTTGTCTCTGCACCAGTCTTATATCGTGTTGACTTTTCCAAGGCATTTTTTATGGAAACAGATGCATCAGATTTTGCCTTGGGTACAGTTTTATCACAAATGGGAACAGATGAAAAACTTCATCCGATAGCTTTTCATTCAAGAAAATTCTTAGCAGCCGAGATCAATTATGAGATCCACGATAAAGAACTTCTTGCGATCGTGGATTCCTTTCAAGAATGGCATCATTATCTAGAAGGTGCTTCTAGTCCAATCACTGTGTATACAGATCACAAGAACCTCGAGTATTTCATGTCAGCACGCGTGTTGAATAGTCATCAAGCTCATTGGAATATGTCTTTGTCAA